AACAGAGGGCAATGTATCGAGATTCGTGTAATTGTAGAAACAGGAACAGAAAGTTCTTAACAAGAGTAGAATATAGTATTTGATATATTATAACCCTGTTATTTCACCCCTTTCACTATGTTTCAACTCCAATTTTATTTCTTTTACCAGTTTTACTCTGTTTCTACCTTTTTTCTCGTTCTCTATTAATTTCACCTATGTACATATATTTCATTGTATCTTACTATGAATTCTAAGCTGACTTTTTCTTTGTTTCTACTATGAACGATTGTTCTCTCACACAATGTTTTACTCTTCAGCCATGTTTTAGACGTATACATATATTTGTACACCATTATGTTTCCATTTACTAATATTTATTGCATCCACCTCCTATTACAAAAATGTCAACCCTCGACAAATGGGCGTGTAGTATCTACAACATTTTAATCAAATAAACAGCTACTATTCTTATGTATTAGTGACACGCTTGAAAAGTAAAGCGTCTTTATTAAAACGGTAATATCGTCGATCAAATTTTAAACACGTCCGTCGTCGTTTCCCTCCACTTCGGCTACAATCCCGAAGATCCTCGCGCGTCAGCTTCGCATCCTCGTGCGACCCGCCGTCGTCCCGACGCATTTCTCAAGCCCCTTCCGCCTTGCGCGCCCCGTTCTCCGGTGGAACACGAATCCTTCATTTCTCACGGATTTCCAGGAGCGCCGCGATATATCAGGACATCATACCCGCAATTTATAAAGTCGCGGAGCACGACGTTACCGCGTTACCCTCCGCGAATTCACCGCCGAGCACGCGATCGGCTTGCCGCGAGATTCGTCGGCTGCATTTCTAATCAGCCGTCGCCTTCCCGGGAATCGTCTACACCCGATGCGACGTGGAATTTAGATCTTAACCACTTGCCCTACGATTTACTTCCCAATTGCGATCGCTGTAACTACCTCGCTGTTAATAATTTATTGGAAGAAGAGTGTTACGCGACAAAAATGACAGTGACACTCACCGTCGCTGTCGCGTGAGAAACAAAAGGAGCCTCTACCCCGGGCGGCCAATCGGTATGCGTGTCCGACAAAGTCGCACTGATTGGTAGATGCTCCTTTTCCCTATAAATATGCTGAACTTTTTTCCTTCAACGTCAGTTAAAAAATTGAATGAAAGATATGAAATGCAAAAACGTATGTAGAATGAAAAAATATAACAAACGCACTTACTTGTTTGTAGGACGCACTGAATAAGACTAAATAATAAGACTAGAACTCTGGGTATTCTGTGTCTATGTTTGCTTAAAGTACAGTCATCGATAATAGAAGAATAATGTTTCATTCGAGAGCAGTAGAATTTAGTAATATTCGAGTCGCCAGAAGGCAATGCGGTTAAGTAGAGAAAAGGAAAATCGAGAAAATGAATGTTAAAATTTACGAAATGAGAAAGTATCAAAGAATCAACTTAACCGCATTGGCTTCTGAGAGGTTCATTTATGCTCGTTAACTTTCCGGTGTATTGATAAGAAGCGAAGCGAGTCAATTGGGTAACCTAAATTCTCTGGAATTGTCAGAGAAGTGATCTTCGTTTTATACAAAGGAACGATCGATTAATTTGTTTAACTTCTATTTAATTAACAAACCGTTAATATCGTGAGAACGTTCACGTGCGATTTCGAATGGATTCCTATCTGTTTATGTAAATTCGTAATTTCGGACGGTCGTTTCTAAAAACGAAAATTGGGTTGAACTTTATTTCTTGTGTACACCGGAAATTTTATTATGTTCATTTTACCCAGTACGTACGTAGCACTAAACTTCATCACAATCTTTATTTTATCGCACTTCGCGGAGAATGAGGCGCTGTAAATGCATAAACTCCGGTAATCTGCTTATGAGGAATGAGGAAATATAACGGAAAAAAGGGAGGAGAACGGAGAGGAACGTTGGGACACGGTGAAACAGAGTGTAACAGAGGAATTTGTTGGGTCCCGGTGACGCGAGAACGGTTTCGGGATCGACGTTTCGCAGCAGAGATTGTTTAATGTTTTGTCAAATAATGAGGATCGTGTTGTTTAACGAATGAATTCAAAAAATCGTCGGAATGTTTAACGAATAATTCCGCACACCGCGGAATGCCTCGTTAATTCCGAAGCAATTACATTTTGACGCGGTGCGCCCGGCGATCCTTCGGGTTACACGTGTTGCGTGTTCGTGCCTTGTTTACAATTAATTGATCTCTCGAATTAATTGACGTTCGATAAACTTTATGTCCCGGACACGCGCCGTTCGCGGCGCGCAGGGGGAAATCGTTTTTAACGAGGCCTCCGGAGCAGGTGATTTTTTTTCCTAAGCACTGTTTCATATTAAATTTCAAAAGAGCGCCGCTATTCGCCGGGTACACCCTGTACAGTGGAAAAACCGGCTTCAAACGTTTTCGATCCTTTTTGCGGAAATTACGGTACATCGAAGCGTTGCTCCCGATTTCGTAAAAGTTGAAGTGCTTCCTGAGTGGCTGTAATTTAAACTTCGATGGGACGGCAGATTGGATTACGCTTAAACGTTGGATTCCCGGGGACCGGCCGACATTTTGCTAATAATAGACGTGACTGGATAATGTCGCGACGGCCCAAAAGCGTAGATAACCGGGGATTACCTTTTTAACGGTTTTAAGGCCGCTTTAACGGCCGCCGCGGCGACTGAACTTAGCGAACCGGTTCGCGTTTCAAGCTTTCCCGAACAATCGTCAGCCACGTTTCGCGACGAGCGGAGAGAAATCATTTTTGAACACAGTAAGCTCTATTATCGTGTCTTCCTGAGAATACTCAGGTGAATCCTCGCAAACTTCAAGGTAAATAAAGCATCAAGACGATCCTTGGGGACCATTGAAAGAACCGTTGCATCCCTTAAGAGCTTCAGTGGCTGTTGAAGATCTTTCGAGGACTCTGATGCTCCTTGGTCACCCTAAGTAGCAGACTGGTTCGTAGGGGTTATGGAAAGTTTCTCGTTATTACTATCTCGAGTATCGATCATTGCTGATGAATCTCAGCATTGAAATGGAAATGTATTCATGAGTTCGTCTCGAAAGGTTTCCTTCCCACATGAAGTACCTATCGATAAACACTGTCGTAAATAACTTTAAATGCTAATCTCCCGGTACAGTCTTTAGAGTTCGAACAAAAGTCAAACGAACAACAGCTTCAGTGCCAACGATGTACTCTTACGATACGAACTCGTCAGTAAAGCGTTCCACAAACGAGGAATTTCAGGGAAATCACAGGGAAAGGACGGCGCGTCGATGTTCTTCGACGCGAAACGAGATTTCCGGTCGCGGAGAAGCGAGTGTCGAGGTCAGGGAAGGTAACGACGCCGGCGAGCGACGTTTTCCGACGCGGAAAAGAGAGCTGTCCCGCTCGGCAAACGAAATATACGCGAAAGGCGGCGCGCGGCGGCATGCATATCCGATTGTGGCGGCGAAAGAAAGCGAGCATCGACGGATCTCTGCGGCGACGGCGGGCCGCGCCGGGTCGATCGAAATTTCATTTCGCCGCCGAAGACGTCGGGGGGATTTTTCGGAGGCAGCGGCGCGCAGCGTGGCCGTTACCGTCGCCCGCCGCTGCCTTCTTGCGAGCCCGTTCAAACTTTAATGCATGCGAGAAGGTCGGCTTGTTTGCTCTCGAGAAAATTGCTCCCGTAGAACCGGGTGTATCGAGGTGAAATGTGATTTCGTTGGTGACCCAAGGGATCCCGCGTTGAAGCCGCGCCGTCGGACGCCTCGTCGAGAGACCGTTGCACCAATGCGCGACGGCAGTCCCGTTAAAGTCGGAAGAACCCGCGGCTGCGCGCTCGGAATTCGATTCGCCATTTTTCTTGGAAAATCTCTTTCTCACTGGGACGTAGAATGCGAAGTTGACGCGAACTTTCGTCTACAGTTCGATTCTACCGAGGGTACCATCGACTGTTACGAGTACCACGAGTCTACCGTCTGCGGATGTATCTTTTTCATTTCACGCGAACGAAACCCTCAGTTGACAAAGTGTAGAAAGTTTACTTAAGATTTGCGAAGTGAAAATTGTCAATTTAGACGTTCCCCGCAGCTCCGGAGCATCGAACGGAGATGGAATGTTCGGAAAACAGGCGGCGTAATGTCGATTGCGCCGCGCTGCGAGGGGCTGAAGCATGTCGCGTTCGCAATAAAACGCGAGAACGATGAAGTATCGATGTTCATTATGGCCGGCGCATCCCGTATTCGCCGTAATCGTTATAAACACGCGGGTCAACCCCACAAAGGGCCTCCTCGAGCATCCTCTCGTAGCTCGCGAGCTACAGCGCCGGCCCCGCAGTCGACGTTAATTAATGTAACTCGACGAGGAATACGAGCATAATTGCTTCGGTGGAGTAGCCGGGGCCGAAAGTTTGCTCGTTATCGGGCCAGCGCGTAGATACACGCACACGGCGCAAAGGTGCATCGATAATCCGTCCTTAACACCGCGGATTATGATATTATCGCGTCGCATTGCCTCGCGGCGGTCGGAACGTCAAACCGATTTCCGCGGTGCCGGCGACGTCTGCTTGAGGAAGCCACTTAACAACGGAACACCGGCATCAATTAATTAATTTACGCCGAGTCACAGAAAATCTAGAAGCTGTTGCAACTGATAGGAATAATGTTCGCGATATACGAGTCGCGTAAGAGCTAATGCGGTTAGGTCGAGAAAAATGTAATGAGAAAATTAATGTGTTCGCTAGATCGATGTTTATAAAATAAGGGAAATATAAGTATCGTTTGATTATGTGATTATCGAAGTTGAATATCTATCACTGTTCGAAACATTAGGTACACTCGGTGGAAAAATGTAATGAGAAAATTAATGTGTTCGCTAGGTTGGTGTTTATAAAATAAGGGAAATATAAGTATCGTTTGATTATGTGATTATCGAAGTTGAATGTCTATCACTGTTCGAAACATTCACTCGGTAATTTATTAATCTGTAACGTTCATTTGAAATAGAATTTTATTGAATGCACAGAGTATTAGTTTCATTGTTTTCGCATGTTCGTTGCCATACCCTCTTACGTTACTTCGAAGGGAATATGACGAAGTTTGCGGGTTGTACACGGCGAATTTGTGTATTTGGCGATCGCAGCATGATACTCGCAGCGAGGCAAGATGGCGTCGTGGAAGGTTGTAGCCGCGCAAACATACAACAGCCTCGTGTGCACACGCCGCGCTGTTTGGCGACGGCCGGATGCACGAGGGTAGCAGACCACATCACTCGTCGGCCCAACCGGATGTCCCGACATTGAAATACATGCGAGCCCGTGCTTCGGCGGTTTCTAACCCCGTACGTTTACTCCTGGCTCGCCTCTTTCGTGCTGACTGCGGGAAACAGGGAATCTTGTTTCTTGCTCGTCATTGTTCTTGATGCCGATCGTGACCGCCCTTCTAAATAATTACATAGATAAAATAAAATTCTTATCACGTTCGAACGAATTAAATCTATTCTTTTCAACGATAGTAATGTAAAATACAAATGTTATCGAGTTCAATTGAATAGGATTAACTGATTTAACTGATACGTCCACTTATGGGCCACTGTATACTTCTGGGATATGATAATGGTCTGAGATTATTTAGTCTATTTAGTACTTTGTTTCATTTCATTCTCGTTCGCGATATATTCTGTCGTGTTCTCGTAATTGAACAAGAAATAAGATTTAACATTTTGCACTCGAAAGTGTTTCACTTGAAATATTCAATACTTTCGTATGTGTGCAAAGGTCAATTGTAAATACAGAAGTTTATAATTTTACTGCATACAATTATCTGGCGACTGGGAGTCGCCTATCGAGTGCAAAGGGTTAATGTTCATAAGTGTTGAGAATAGTACGAGATTAGGTACGTTTTACTACCAGTACCACGTCTTGCCTCAATTTGATATTTACATATCGAACAGATTGAATAATTTTCAGGCGTTAAGAAACAACAACGAAATTTCCTAATAATGTACTCGTGTCGAGTGTACATCGAAGGAAATTTATTTGTCCAAGTGACCACCACGTATGAAGAGGTTCGATTCGACGTTTCCCATTCGTCAGTCGCACCTTACCCGCGTGTAATGTCACGTTATTTATTCGGGCAGGGACGTCATTAGTTTCAGTCTGTAGTGAGTAGCGTTCGGATAGTGGATACGGGTGCGAAATTGATGGCAGCACTCCCCGTATTTCGCGGGAAGCGCGCCGAAAGGGTCGCGCGATAAAAATATTGTCGGTTGTGGGGATTCTTCTTTTCAGCTGCAAACATATTTTCACAGTCGCGTCCGCGTTTCCGCTCCACGCAAATGCAGAATGCCGGGCAAACGATGTATCGTGGGAAACGGATTGCTAGTTTGTTGGGTTCGTGACAGCCGAATGTTATTTCAGAATTGCTTTTTGTTGAGCTTACCGTTCGTGACAATGTTATAGCCAGAAATTGTTTACAAAATGCAACGAGCCGTTGCATGCAAAATTTAACAGATATTTGGCGAGCATTTAAAAACGCCGATGGAAGTTTCTATTTGGGAGTTCGTGTACTCAGATTAACCCCTTGCCGTACAATGACGAGTGAGACTCGAGATGACGATTTCTAGACTAATTTGACGACAATCGATGTTGTTCATTATCCACGGAACGAAGTAACTATTTCGCTATTATCGATGTATTATCTTCAAATGAAACTTTCGCTTGAAGTAGAATGGAAAATTTCGCTACTTTTCTTCTAAATTGTCGATAGTAAAATGTTACACGAGCTTAGTAGCGAGAATAAATAGTACGTTAAGGGGTTAAACGAAGGAAGATCGTCCAATTCGGAAGTTATCATTTTCTATGCTGATCTAACTGTCTGTTGTGTTTAACGTCTTCTTTCGGCAGAATGCGGGATTGGGATTGACAAAACACACGAAGCTGTGCTTCCCCTGATATCGATCGATAATCGCGGATATTTGCAAAAGAAAGCGATTGCCACCAGCGTAAGTTGGGATTTTTCAAAATATCTAATCTTATCGAGATTTCGAAAAAACTGGAGGCTGATAGCGGATCAATTACTGTTGCGTTTACCTCGTCACGATAATCGCGTTCATCTTGATACATTCGGTGTATTTTTCAATTCGTTGTTATTCATCGTTAATCGTTATCCATCTCACCCCTTATCTGATAAGCCGAAGGAGGATGTTTATGCAAATAGAGATATTCACAGGTAATTCCACGGTACCTGTAATCAAATGAAAAATCACAATCTCGAGTATTTTATCATTATCCAAATCCGTGATCGCACCATCGATTTATAGAGTGCAATGCGATACGGATCGAATGGTTTTCATAAACAACTGCATGTAACGGATATTTTCAGCTTACAAGATTTACTGGCAAATATAAACATAATCTAGTAGCAAAAGTAAATAATACGGCAGGGGGTTAACACTAGGTTCACGGAATGTCAAATTGACGCATATTGGATTTTAGAAATATTTTGTAAATGTTTACGCCGATTTTGATTGATGCGATCGCACTGACACGTACCCCAATTACCTGCTATCGAATCTCCACAATCTAAATAAACGAGCATCTTTTAGGAATAATAGAACGAAGTGTACTATAAATGCCCGTGAACCTAGTGTTAAATCGGCAAACAGTTGCGCAGAATAACAGCGGGAACTCTCGAAACAGTAGAGACTTCAAAGTTAGCTCGCGATCGGATGCAGTGGCGCAATTTCCTCGGCCAGCGCTGTACATATCTACCCTACGCCAAAGTGGATCCAACGAGAACTGATCCGCGGCGTCTCCAGGGTGTTTTATCGTGTCGCTATCAATAAGGTTCCCGCGTAGAAGAACCCGTCCGATGATATAGGGGTAGACGCTCGGATGGAGGATGAAAACCGGGACGATCCTGGGCGGCGAAAGGGGATAGGAGCGCTCGAAGATAGGACGAGCGAGAGGAAGAAGAAGAAGCCCGCGAGAAAGAGGACCGGCGGCCGGGAATCCAATCGCAATAGAGTTAAGTGTTCGTGAGTAAAACCTAGCCGAGGCACGACCTCGATTACTCGCGGAGGATTTGTTACGGCCACCATCCCCGTTCCCGGTTCCCGTGGAATCGTCCCGTCGGGCGTCCCGCAGTTTCGATTCCCGTGAAAGCCGGCCCGCACGACCGCTTTGTCTCTTTCTCCGGCGGACCGTGTTTTTTCCCAGCCACCGGTTTCTTTGGCTCATCAACCGGAAGGGGTATCCAATTGGCCCGGTCACGTTTGCCCGGCCACCGATCCGCCGTCATCAGATTACGCCTCGTAGAACAGATTTTTTTCTCCCATTTGCGACGGACAATTTGTCAATCGGCCGGCTTCTTGCGCGCTACGCCGCCTCGCGCCTCGCCCGGAAGTACCTAGGGTCGTGGCTACACGCGTGTTACACGTTGAATTTTTACTGGATCGAGAATTCACGTGTGTTCGAACCCTTAACCTTTTAGGCACGGCTGTTCCTCTGTACGGACAATGCTGTTCTCTACGCGAGTACATTGGAATGAAGTTTTTGATGACTAAATTATAATCTTTCTTAAAGATATGATACACATAATTTAACTCTAACAGTTTAGAATAATAATTAGTAAGACAATTGGGTATAATATATGACATATTGGTAACGACGGAGCCGCTATAGTGGCGCGTCGTGCCTAAGAGGTTAACCAGTTAACTGTGGAATTTAGTTGGAAAAACCTCTCGTTCTCGCAATAAAATAAAGAAATGGAGCGTGTACTCGTCGAACGCAGGACGAACGCGCGTAGAGTATATTTTAATAAAAGATCAAAGTGAAACGAAGTTTGTTTACTGGGCTTAATGTCGCGTGTACGGTGGTAAACATTGGTTTGTTATTTTTATTACTGTGATTATTGTAGTATTTATAATTGTCACTTCAGATTACTCTATTGGTTAATAGGAGAAATTGATGGCGTGTAGAAACTGAGAGTTGCATTGGTTTCAAACTAAAGTCTGTTCAAGGGAGATGCTGATTCTATTGGATTATCCGAGAGGTACTGATTTTTCCATTGGAGAAACGCAAGTACTGTAGTGTCGGTGTTTGTTGCAGATTCAATAGTTTCGATCGTGTTCACCGATTCGATCGGATGGTTTCTAATAAGAATAATACAACCTTGAAAGGTAAACAACTCGTTTACCTTTGGTTATGCTACTGAGCGTTTGTAATCTTGTTTATGCGAGCCGAAGATAAGGAGTGATTTGGAGGAACAAAACTGATACGGATTAAATGAACCGTATATCAGATTTATCGACTCCCACCGAATCTTGAGGATCGATCGGTTGGATAATGTACTGTATTACGTGAAAACATATTGGATCATTCCGATTCACGGCGCGATTAGATAAGTTGCGCGGGATAATTAATTCTATTTCGAGAAACTATTTTCGCCCTGTGAACAAGATGCCTGATAGAGAATTACATCGTCAGGTGAATCCCAAATGAGTGCTACTATCGGTTCATAAAACATTCATCGAGGAATTCCTAATTATAGAGTTACTGTGAATCAATAAGCTTAATGAAACTGTCTACTGTCTTAAAAGAAAAACTTATTCTAACCAATTAATTTACAAACTAAGAAGCTTAAATACACTCTGACCTCATTTTCAAAAAGCCTCGTCGTTTCATTTTGTAACAGCTATTTCAAGCCATTTTTTACATCAATCGTACAAGATCGATAACCCATCGAAACATTATAAATAAAAAGATCAGAGTGTTTCAACTATTTCCTTACAAGCGGGAGATCTTTCAAGGAGAATATCTCGAGAGAAAAGTATAATGTCAGAGCTAATAGAGACGATTCACACTTACGCCTGCATCGAAGTCTCCGCACAGTCGGCGAGGCTGTAATAAGAAGAGGAATGTCGGCCTAATGAGATAACGGGGCAAACGGAATTCCAGGATTTCCAATGGCGGACCGTCGCGCGGCGAGTATTGGGATCCCTAAGCAGAGCGGCGGAACAGATTTTCCTAGTTGCTTCTTGTTTCCTCGTGAAAATCCTCGAGGCCGTTACGCCCGGTAACGATGAGCCCGGTTACGAAGGGCTGTTACCGCCACGTGCCGCCATAATATCGGGGCAAAAGTTTGCCTGGCCAGCCGGAGAAAATAATTTGATACGACTCTCGCCTTGTTGCGACTTGAACGCAGGTGGAACGGCGGGGCAATTGCCGGCCCTTCGGAGAACAATTACGATGACGTTCCCGTGGCCCGCGGCAATTAAGCGGCCGCACACATATTTCGGCCGCTTCGTTATTGTCCCAACCTGAAATTGCCAAACAATTCTACAGTTGAAATGGCTCGGTCGCTGCAAGAGACTGTTCCCAAAATTACGAAACAATCTTTTCGACGGTGTCGGCTGTAAAACATCTCTGAACGACAAAGGCGCATGTTTCGCGGTTATTCGAGTTAGCAGCTAGACCTGGTCGTTTCCGATGATTTATCGAAGTACGAGGCATAGCGAAGATGATTCTCTAACTATATTGTATATTTTAGAAAACGAGGATATTCCTATTTGACGCTGGTTTTCATAAAAATCCGTGAATAAAGAAGAATAAGGATTAAGGGAGGATAGTAGGGAATGATTATTCATGCGGAGCTGGGACCACTGTCGCGTTGCTCGGCCGTCAAACATTAAACTCCAGTATTTTCCAAGTTTAAAAGTAGAAGGAGAGTCCTGTTTGTTAGCCGGCTCTCGGGCAGGAAGAGGATGCGCCGGAGCAGAAAGGTCGCGGGAGTGGATAAATCTTTTTGTTCGGCCGTTGGCGCGACGCGAGTGACGTAATATCATTTAGAATTTATATTACCGAGTTCATCCTTCAGCCCTCCGTTGCTTCCGTCGTTTCCCTCGTCCTTCGTCCCACGTGTCCTCGCGCGGGCTGCTGCTGGAGGAGCCGAGAGAGGACGGATGGAAGAGCCGCGAAATTACGTTAAACCCTCGCGAGATAGGGCACCGCGGCGCAAGAGAGCCGAGAACGTGGAGCTTCCGTTCCCCTAAGAAAACAGAGGCCACCGTTTCCTCCGCAAACAGCCGTCGTGCAACTAACGGGCCGCCGAGAACAACCGTATCGGAGACCATCACCGAAGAATCTCGCGATTATCGAACGATCTCGTGATACAGGGTATTATCGCATTCCTAAAATGACTTTGAGCCTGACACTCCGATCGGATTTTCCTGATTTCGTTTACGTCATAATCGAGTGTTATGCGACCGAATTGCGATGGTAATCTAATCGCGGTGCACTGCGAATCGGGAGGAAATTTGTATATAAACTGGACGCTGCGGGTCAGTTGGCATCAAACAGTCGAGTTCACTCACAGCAGCAACATGGTAAGTGAAATCAACGTACAAACAATTCTTTCGACTCGTCCGAATTATACTCTGATCTTCACTTCTGACGAATTCTTCCTTTTGTAATCGTTTCTGTATAATACGGTTGAAGTTTCGACGAGTTACGCATACATTGAGCGGTGAGAGTTTGGGATCGCATGGAAAGGACACTTTTAACTTCCCTTTGAGATTTACACAGTAAAGAATATAGTTGACTTCTTCTCGAATATAACGTATTAGAATAAAGTAGATTACAAATTGTAAAGTTAGTACGGTGCGATCATTGCTAAACCTTGTCACATTCACAGAAGCAAGTACTTAATCCTTTGCACTCGGGAGGTGACTCTCAGTCACCGCTTGATCTCCCACAGTAGCTATAAAGTTTGATATTTAATATTATACTTCATATAATGCATCAATCTGAGAAACATTGTTTTACAAAATATCGTCTTCATCTCGTCAGAAAATGTCGAAATATTCCTAGTGAGAAACTTCGAAGTGCAAAGGGTTAACCGTATCGGTGATCCTTGGATCCCAGATGTGCCTCGATCTAACTGTCACTCGCTGTTCGCAGATGAAATTCGCTTTGGTAGTTTTGGCGCTGTTCGCCATGTCCAGCCCCATGGACGCATACACCCTGCCGCGTGTTGGCACAGGAGTGCTCGCTGACGAGCTCCAGGCCTTCGTGGACATCGTACCGACCAACAAAATCGTCACGCTCTGTCTCCAATACTTGGCCGAAGACGCGGAGTTCCAGAAACTCGTCACCTACCTGCAATCGCCGGAATTCAAGAAACTGGTCGTCGACATCGAGGCTCTTCCCGAAGTGATCGACATCTTAAACTACATCCAGAAGGGTGGCCTGGACATCTACTACCTGGTGAACAAGATCAACAAATTCCTTGGACTGCCAAGCTTGAAGACCCCAGACACCTTCGGCCTGGAACCCCTGAAGACCAAGAGCGGAATCCGCGGCTTCCTCGACGAAGTTAAGGCACTCATCCCCGTCGACAAGATCAAGGCGCTCTACTACCAGAAGATGCAGACCTCGAAGGTGTTCGTCGCCTTCATGGAGAAGATCAGATCCCCGGAGGCCCAGAAGATCGCTGACGCCATCGTTGCCAACCCGAACCTTCACGGACTCCTCAACAAGGCCAAGGCTGCTGGCGTCGACGTCAAGGCCGTCAAGGAGTTCTTGGAAATGTTCCTTGGCATCAAGATCCCCATTGACGTCTAAACGTCTTCCCACCGGCCATGAAACGGAATGTTTATAATTTTCTTTTATATGTTTCTAATTTCTTACAATAAACCTGCATACTTGTAATTGCTACTGTTTAACGTTCGAGTACCATGTTAACCCTTTGCACTAGGAAGTATTTCGTTAGGAATACTGAACATTTTCTAACTAGACCAAGAAGATATTTTTTTCAGTTAACTCAACGAGAAATCGCAAATAAATTGTGAAACTATTTTACCCCAATATTTCACACACCAGTGCATTATATACAGTTCAATATTGAATATTAAGTTTTATAATTTCACTGCATCAAATCAAGCGACTGAGAATCACCTTTCTAGTGCAAAGGATTAATCCTTCTCCTTGTGGTTTATTTGATCTATTTAACAATAGAACTACTGGATAGGTGAAAATTACCTATTCCTGAGCTCATTTTTTCTAGTTATTGAACAGATAACGGGTGGTTATCTGGAAAAGTATTAGAGACACTGATCTAGCAATATACAAATTGAATTGCAAACCGAAGTCTCGATAAATGCACTGTTGAGGTTTCTACGGAACAATTTCAAACAGACAATTTAACTGCTCGGTGGTTCTAGCGTTAAAAATGGTTCTTCGATATTTCGTGGTTTCGATTGGTGTATGAGAAATGTACAAAATGGCGGTGGCATTACCGACCATCGATAAAATAGGTCTTGTATTTGGTATTTTAATTGTTTGTCTCGTAACATCGGATAGGAGTCATCATTAAGATTTCAAACTGAATTTAATGAGCATGGATATTATATTTTTCGTTTTGGTAGCGTTGTTAAGATTTTATGTTCAAGTTGTGAACACAAGTTTTGTACTATATCTGGCTAATTTTTAAGTAGACGTCAAAGTTTAGGGGAAGAAATTTGTAAGAAAAATGCAGTTTGATAAGAGGGTTCGAAACAACTACTTAGATCTTTATTATTAAGGTTAATAATTCGCATAAATAAAGAATTTCTCCATTCATAACATACCAAAGATTGTTGTTTATTACCTGACACCTAATTAAATAACAAATTGTAAGGTTTAAATAACCAATAACGTTAATGTTATTAGTAAGACACATTTAAGTGGAACGAAACTTTTATTTAAGTATGTTTACAAATCTCACGAGTAAAGTAAATCAATCGTTGAAAAGTCTCTTTGCAAATAATGCATTCAGTAACTTCTTTGTTACAAGTTCATGTACACTATTTTCATTGGTCATTTCTTTTCCTAATTTCCTTCCTTTTTTAATGTTTTAATATTTCTATAATACTTTCTCAGGTTCTTTTCTTCTAATTTCATTACACATTCACAGACGTGTTAATGAACATCGAAATTGTCACGAATTTGTAGATGCAACGCATGTGTAAAGGCTCAAAGGCTGTATGGAATGCTTGTAGTACACGAAGTAGTACATATATTATGTTGATAAAAACAGAAATACGATACACAGATCAATTGATCGAGGAAGATAAGTAAATATGAGTTATGTATCATTGTTGCGGTTGTGATAAAGCCAGCCAGATGTTCATAGCCGATGATAACCGTGATAACTGAGACAAATACATTTTTATGCAAGTTATCGGATTCTTTTGATCCTGTGATCCTTAACCAGTTAACTGTGTTTGACGAGTATACACGTCATCTTAAAACTCTTAACGGTGCTAACTTTTTCAACGATGGATTATTTATTTTTTGAGACAAACATGTAATTCTTCTTCGTTTCGCTTTAGTTTTTCGTTAGGATACATTTTAAGTGAGAGATTTTTCAAACTAAGTTCCCCACTTAACTGGTTAACATTACTTCTATCGAAGGTGTCAAAGTATTTATTCTTCCTCAGTTGAATTTTGGACATTTCCTATAGTAAATTTGGTAACTATAGTAACGCTTGTAACTGTATAGATCATCAATGTTGAGGCTGATCAGCTAAATGAAGCTCTGAGAATTCTTATCTTTTCTAGATAAATGTAACGATTCTGAATTATTGAAGTTATTTCATAACCAAATATGTCCCTATTTTCAATAAATCGGCTAATAATATAAAACTTTCAAACAATAATGTATTTATAGAAACACTATGTACCAGTTTAAATATATACTATCGTCTCGTCTTGAAAAACACCCTCAATAAATAATTTGCGAATCAATTGACCTTATCGGATACCGTGTCATAGCCAAAGATCAAATTTAGCTGTCGGCGAACGATAAAGAGTGACTGATTCAATTAAGTAATAATTGAATCTTACGACTGATTATCGCGTAACATTAAGATCACGATGCATTTATCAACGGAATCAATTTGCAGGTGTTAAAAATTAAAGCCGAGCTTTCTATCCAAAGTTCACGACACGAAACTATTGCAATTTTCATTTCTCTAATTTTACCATCTTCCATAGAAGCGCATCTTCTATCGAGTAGATTTATCGCTCCGAAGAAAGTAACCTGTTTGGTTCTGCAACGTGGTCATTTATCTCTATATCTAGTTTTACATCGTTTATCTAAAATTTATTTCCCAGCGAGTAAAAGTGCAAATAGAAGCTCGATATCTGGTAAAAAACGAAAATCTTACAGAAATAAGGGCTTCCAATCACACCACCTGTTAATTAAATGAGCAAGATAAAATTAATTGGAATTCCTTTTGGAATCTGTCTCAGATGTGTCTAATTGATAATACAAAGAAGAGAAAGAAAACGGGGGGAAAAAGAGAAAAGAAACAAGCCCAGGTGCACATTTCAAATCTTATCTACCTCAGAAATGAAGATGCCATCACGTTCTCGTGAATTTTCGATATCGTACAGTATATAAAAGACGGGAAACTAATTCAGAAACCAGTAGTGCCTTCAACCGGAGCTATCACGGTAAGTTAACAAAACGACAATCGCAATACTCATTTTATTTATTAGACTGGATCTTTATGTTGCCATTATACAAAATCCGAATTTCCCGAAGCAATTCGAAGAAATTCCACTTCTAAGAATCGTAATAAGTTAAAAATCACAGAAGGGTATTATTAAATTCTTTTGAAATATTCTCTTTTATATTTCATTTAGTCTTTGTTTAGTATTTGTTCATCTCGATACTAATTCGAATAATTCGGAAATATTTCGAAAAATACAAGGGCTTTATAGTATCACGATGCTTCAACCGGAAGTTTCAATTTAAACTCTAACGTTCCATCGAATCGTTAACTTCCCATTTCTTAGTACAATATTCCTGAACTTAAAGAGATAGTGCAGTTTCAACTATCTCAGTTAATTATCACAACTGAATATCCAGCATAGTCGTTACGACTCGTACAATCGTTATTCGCTTCGCTTGTAAAATGGAACAACTCATGGATTGACTCGCGCATAATCATTATCCGTTAAAAACTTAATAACAATTATTATTTCTAAATTATGCGTAATTACCATTTGTCGCAGATGAGAATCCAACTGCTAGCAATCACCGCTCTAGTAGCGTTCGCGTCGAGCAGCGCCCTGCCAGCGTTCGGCCAGGGTCCGCTCTACGATGACGTGATGTACTTCATGGACATGATCCCGCTGTCGAGGATCGTCACGATCACCCTGAAGTACGCCGCCGAGGACCGCGAGTTCAAGCAGCTCCTGGAACACATGCAGGGCAACGAGTTCAAGGAAATGGTGAAGGAAATCGAGGCGATACCCGAGTACCACAACTTCGTCAATTACATGCAACGGAACGGCGTGTACTTGGTCGACGTCACGAACAAAGTGAACAAATTACTCGGCATCCCGACCTTCCAACCCATGGACGCCTACAGGACCGGCGGGCTGAAGGGCTACTTCGAGGAGGTCAAGTCCAAGATCTCCTACGACGAGGTGATCCACGGCTACGTCTACAAGATGAGGACATCGGCGGCGTTCCGCGACTTCGTGGCAGAACTGAAGTCCGGCAACCACCAGAGATTCGTCAACGCTCTCTACAACAATCAACGTTACCTGCAGTTCCGCAACATGCTCGCCGTTAAGGGTATCGACGTAGCGCTGATCGAGGACGTGATCTACACCGTCCTGGGCATCGAGTTCCCCGTGATCAGCAGTTTCGAGGCCGTGCCTTACGGCGACGCAGCTTTGCAGAAGGATATCCGCGACTTCATCGCCCTGATCGACACCAACAAGGTCATGCAAATCGTCGTGTCCTACCTGGACGATGACGAGCTCAAGAGGGCAGTGCTCTACATGTACAGCGAGGAGTTCCACGTGCTGGTCCGCCAGGTCGAGGCCATGAAGGAGTACCAGGACCTGGTCCTCTACCTGGAAGACGCCGGTTTGGACATGTTCGGATTCCTCCAGAAGGTCCACAAACTGTTCGGCATGGAAGACTACGTCCCCCCCAGCCGCCCCGTGTTCGGCGTTTACCTCGACGAAACGTTCGTGAACAAGGGCGGACTGAAGAAGATGCTCGAGGAAATAATCGCCACCCTGCCGATGGACAAGATCAAGGCCCTCTACAACGAAAAGATGGCGAACTCCCCCGCGTTCAAGAACTTCATGGAGAAAATCCGTTCCGAGGATTTCAAGCACATCGTCAACTTGGTCTACAGCGCGCCCATCTTCCGGGAGATGAGGGCGAAGGTTATCGCCGCCGGAATCGATCTCCAGCCCGTCAAGAAACTGATCGAGAAGGTCCTTGGCTACCAGCTTCCAGCTGTACCCGCGTACTAAACCGACGGTTTCGTATTTGTTTATGAAGAAGCTCACGATACTGTCTGTCTGTCTAGCTCACGATACTGCCCGACATGATATTGCTTTTGTATAATGGTTAATCGTTGTTTTTAATAAATTCCATTGCTTGAAATTACGTTCCCGTGTAACCGTTACTAACCCTTTGCACTGCGAAGGTGCCTCTCAGTCACGATTGGTGCGTCAAAATTGTAAAATTCCGTATTTGACGTTAAATCTAGAGTAATCTGAAATGGGGAAATGAAATACCATTGTTCCCCTTATTTTGTGAATAGATTCCTCGTTAAGTTAGTTGAAAAAAATGTCAACTATCTCATAAAAATGAATTGAATATTTCTAGTGACAAATTTTTCGAGTGCAAAGGGCTAACACTGAACGTACCAGTGAAATCACCGATTTCGGAATTTCATCGAAAGTTTTAAAGCTTTTAAAGCTTTTTTCTAGTTACAGTAGAAATGAATTCAACAATTTGGCAGTCTTGAAGAACTTTCTCTTTTCCTATTTCGCGCAGACGTAAACACTAATGTTTATTAATACTTTAATATAAAGTGATTTCGAAACAATCTAATATATACAATGCAACAAGATTATCGACGCGCATAAGTCATCGACAATTTTGGGACCAAAAATTTCCCACGTGCGTGATGCGTGTTCCAGCGCAAGAGGTTAAGGGAAAGAGAAAGACTACAAAGACGATTCCGTCTCCTCGCTCTCAGAAGTCACGCATTTCCTTCTGTCGTTACCCAGCCTCTCCTGCTCCCTTTTCCGTCGGCCCACCCTTCATCGCGGCCATCCCTCGACGCCGAGTCCCTTCGATTTTTCTGGCTGCGCGCAAGATATTTCTCGCGAACGGGATTCCTCGTTTCGCTCGATCATTCGGCTCCCATTTGCCGGCGCGCTCGCACCGACCCCCTCCCACGATGCTTTTTATGGGTTTCCATTACGACGCGGCAATAGTGAGTCCCGCGGCTTATTAAATTGTAACAATTTTAATTAGAGAAGCGCCACGGCACCGACTCGTTGCGCCCCCTCCCCTTTTGTTCCGTTTCCAGCCCAACCCCCCGAAGCTGCTGCCTCCGGTTCGCGAGCCAACCCCGCAGCTACGAAGACGCGTCGGTTAAGACAGCCCCCGGTTTCCTTTTAAAAGTTAGCGCCACGTGCTCGAGCGCCGTCCTCTTTTATTTATTGAATGGCTACGAGCCACTGCCGGCTATTCGACGCACGCGGCGCCCTTTTGCTTTCTCGTTTGATCGGCGAAACTTTCGGCGCGTTAACGAAGCGCCCCGGTCGCCGATGGCGCGCGGAATTGATCACTCTTCCGAGGAACACGCGGGATTCTCGGGCGTTCCGCTTACTTGGAACAACGAACGCGATATATTGTTTCTGAACATTATTCGAGCGATAATTAATACGTTGAATGCCGCACGATTTCATGGTAAATATTTGAAATGGAAAAGATATAGTATTAAGTCATTCGATTGAATTGTAATGTTATTATTGCAGGTTCATCTAGCTGAATGTCGCCACATTAGTTAGAATTATTTATAATATAGAAATGTTTTCAAATAATCATGACCCCCATGGCATTCAACGTGTTAACCTCTTGCTCTATTGTTTCCATTAGAATTTTATCGTTAACAGAACTGGTCGACTGGCTATGTTGTTTTTAGTTGGAGGGGATGTTGATAATGCTTTTCTACATCTTTGCTTAATGTAATGTGTCACTGAAGGACTAAATATTTTGTTTTAGTTTAAAATTAATATAACGGTTTCTTCAGTTGTAGGATTGGAGTGATTGGAAGACAATTTGTTATAATTTACTAATAGAAATAGATTCGTGTTTATTCTATGTGCATGGTGCTTCAAAAGTTAATTACTTAGAAGAAAGTAATAGTCATTTTTCTATGGAAAATAATTTCGATCAGTAGGCCACCTGATAGACGACAGTGTGACGTGGTTGTCAATTGAAAGGCGCTTCTAAAGGGAAATTGATAAGCATGAATGATTCTTGATAAGATAATGACAGGTAATGTGTTGATATATCGATATGAATTATCATAATGTATTATGATACATCGATATATTACAATATATCGATAATTGGAAATAGATTTATCGATACTTTTATAAACGATAATATCGATAAACTATCGATAATTTCTTAAATGATATATCGATAACCTATAGATATTTTCTTGATGAATTTATCGATAAAGTATTGATTTTTAGGTACGTTTTATCGATAATGTTTCGATTATGTTTAATACAGTTTATTAAGAACTATAAATCAGTAGCCTCACCAGTGTCACATCCAAATGTAACTTTTCTACTGTCATTTCTACAATGCTGTTATATTAATGATATCTAAAATTGTTCCAAGGAAAAAATTATTTAATCTGTGAAATTACTTTTCGATAATACACATAAAATCAATTATGCTTGTACGAGCTACGTAATACTATAATGAAAAATGTACGTCATACGAGAATACATCGTTAGAAAATAGCATTCTCGAATGACAGATACATTGAATTGATAATGATACAAGGAAGACGGCGATACGTTCGCTGATATTCCGCAAGTCGTCAATTAAAATGTTATCTTCGCGTGACAACAGCTTCAAACGATGACCGAAATTTCCATTAAAATTTTATCTCCTCGCGAACAAAGGCTTACGCATCCGCGATCGAAATTTCCATGACGTTCCATTCGACTGAAGGTTACATTTATTAACAGACGCATTATTAATTTCAAAGTTAACCGTTGCAGATAAACAATAATTTGTTATAGATAAAAAATAATTTCCCATCGCACTCGAACCACTCTGAGCGCGTCCGATTGCGCTGCGCGTCGAGAATGAAAGAATTAAATGTACTATTAAAAAAGAGGGAAAGAAACAGTGAATGTATAATCAATAACCTGTCTATAGTACTACGTCACAGATAAAGACACGATAATGTTAACGCGTGCCTAAGGACCGTTCCACTCGAACCACTTTGCATGAATCGATTTCGTAAACGATTACAGTCGAATTTCGGCACTTGATTTCCGAAATCTTATCTATACACTTAGAGTACTCGAGCATAATATAAAAGCGCAACTATCATTGAATTCAGGTCATTTGTGAGTATTATAGAACAGTACCCAAGCCTTACAAAGTGAGTATCGAAACACATTTGATTAATTTCACCATATTTCTCATTATATACGAAAAGAGCCGTTTTCTAAATAATCATCGAAACTCCGACTTAATCGACTACAACCGAAAAATATCTAACGAAGTTCCATCAGAGCGATACATCCGAAGAGCGTTTAATATCAAACGAAACTTCAATTCCATCGAAGCGACTGCAACCCGAACGATTCCCCTGAATCATTCGATTTTCGTTTATCGTAAACTCGTTCTTCATTCCCCAGATGAAGCTCATCGTGCAAGTCTTGTTCGTCGCGGCGATGTCTTACTCGCTGGAGGCATTGAAGATGCCAGCTGTTGGCTCGGGTGAGCTCGCGAAAGATTTCAACGACTTCTTGAAGTTGGTGCCTATGAAGCAAGCACTTCAAGTGATCAAAGCGTACACCGCACAAGACGAAGAGTTCCAGACTAGCATGGCCGTTATGAGCTTAGAAGAAGTGAGGGCCTTGGTGTACAACGTAGAGGAAGCACCGCAGGTGTCCAACATGTTGTACTTCATGCAAAACGCTGGCCTCGATGTCTACTACATACTGAAACGTCTGCACGCGCACATGAACTTCTTGAACAGCGAAGTACCCTCCGCAGTCGATGCCCAAATTAGCGGTGGACTCGCAGGTTTAGAGAGGGACCTGAAAGCTCTGGTGCCCCTCGAGCAAGTAAAAGCTTTGTTGCAGAAAAAGGTGGCCGCTGGCGGCGCGTTCGCCCAATTCTACAAGCTGTGGAACAACAATGAGTTCCGCAACTACTACTCCAACTTACACAGGGACGTCCACGTCAGGGTTTTGGTAAGAATAGCCGAACTCGCTCACGTCAACGGCGTGATGTTCGAGAAACTTTTCCCGGTGCTCCTCGCGATCAGACATTTCGCTGGTTAACGAATGTTCGCGTCTTTAACTCAGCTTCGTATTATCATTACAACGATATCGTAAGCTTTTTAATACGAAGATCTAATGAATGTATCCGTTGGACATTGTGATACTGGCGTTACCTTAATCGTTTGATTAGCCGTTACAAATATCGAAACAGAATCTACCAAGTTTTTAATATATAGAGTCTAACAGATTTCGCACGAATTAGAAGCAAGTGATTTGTACTTCGTAGTTACGAAGTAAAAAAATCAACCGAACCCCGATGCTAAATGCGTTATCAGAGTTCACGATGCATGTGAACACTCTCGTCGTTCGATCGAATCTGAAAGACTATGATCTTTATCGCGCTGACTTATACTATTCTACGTTACGCGCCGTTATCGCGAGCAATGAACAACGTAATCATCATTTACCGACAATACGACGATTCTGCTCAACGGACAGTACAGGTATATTCGAAGTTAAACAATCTCCATGTAATTCATGTATTTATGTAACATCGGAATACTATCAAAATTATCTGTATGCTATTTATGCTTGAATAAAATTCAAATAATGTAAAAATTTTCCACACACTGCCCGCTTAAGTAACGTCCTGTAATCGAAATGATTCCTGATTCCTTCTGCTTGCAATTATTAAAAGGGTAACAAATGTTTTTCTGAGAAATTATTAGAGAAATCAGTTTAGTAATTCGCGAACTGAATTGCAAATCATTTAAAGTTTCAATAGACACTCTCTTGTATTTTCTACACAGAAATTTCAAAATGTCAATTTATCTGCTCGGTAGTTTGTGTTAATTCGGATAATGTAAGAAGTACTTTATCTAAACAAAGTCTGAGTGAGATAAGCGTGGAGATCCATCAGCAGCTCGCCAGCGAACGTCACTTCCAGTCCATCCTCCTGCGCCCAGAAGTAATGATGATTCATCATCCGGTTCTGTCCGATCTCGTTGCACAGCTCCTCGAAGTCGTTCGACTTCAGCAGCAGCAACAGCCTCCGGAAGCTGCCCGAGTACTTGACTTTCTGTCGCAGCAGTTCGTGGAGTTCGTTCAGCGGTATGGTGCGCAGGATCTTGTCGATCATCACGGTCAGCCCGCCGTCCGCCATGTTGCCGTTGCTCCTAACGAACCTCGGCGCCATCTTCCAATAGCTGCGCACCTTCTCGGACCAGTAATGGACGTCGAGGCCATTTTTCGACAGAAACAGAATCATGCGGCTCGCCTGCGGCATATCTTCGAGTTCTCTCAACAGGAACCTTTTGTGGTCGTTGACGAAGCTGACGGTGTCTCCGATCTGCCTGTCGTACTTCATGTAACGTTCGACGATGTCTTGCACTTCCTTGTACGGCACGAACGCGAGGATGTCCCATAGGTCCTCGTTCAAGGAGCTGTTGTCTTTCAGCGGCGGTTGGTTGATCAGATCGCTGTCTTCGGACGACTGTCCGATTCGGTACATCAGGAATCCGACGAATGCTACCGAGGCTGCAGCGATCATTCCCATGATCATGATTTGCGAGTTCATTGCTGGGGACTTGGGCTTTCTCGAAGTTAGATCGAAATCATTGTTGCAGCGAGTCTTCGGAATTAGCGATTCAGCTGTGCTGGAAAAATAGCGTTAGTGTAAGCTTGTTCGATTATTATTATTAAAGTCTATGCGACGTCGCTGTTCGATGCATGTAACAATATGGTAAAGGAATGAGAAGAGAGATGCATCGAGTAATTTCTTCGTGAAAGATACACTAAAGATGTTACATTCGTTCACAATGATTTCCCAAGCCATTGCACGTTGACGAACATTTCCGCCGTCTTCAAGGGCTGCTCGAACAGGTTATGGCGGTCGAAAGAACTTTCCACGGGAGAAATTTCTCTCGCGGAGCTGCCGCAACAAGTTTGTAGAATGTGGAATGCAGTCGGGGTTGATAGAATTCGGAACTGTTGTTCTTACGGGACTCGACGTTTACTTAAGCCATTGTAAATTTTAATCTCGCTCTGCTCCTCGCGAAGTTCTCGGTCCGAGGCATTCTCGAACTGTACTATGTTCACATTTATCGAGATATAATCGGAGGGAATTCATGGAGTGTCGGCTGGAATTTATAAACTGTGAAACGTTAAATACCGGAAAAGACGAGGCAACGATCTGCTGTTTCTACGAACACCGAAATTTCTGGAAACGATGAACGTACGTGTTAGTATTATCTTAACCGTAGATTCCGAATACGATCGCGAACTTGTTTCAGTATACTGCGACGATTGATGAATCGTCGATCGAAAAGATTTAAGTGTCGCGTTCGTAATTTTCCTATTGCGTGCAAGCTGCTGCGAAACCTTCGTTTGATCCACCAATAATCGGCTGGTCTTGGCACTCGTTATTTCTGACAAGACAATCGACTCATTTAGATACGATGAACGGATTGGAATGTGGCGTACAGAGAAAGGAAGATTTCGATGAATACGAAGATACACGGGCGCATTTGAGAAATCAGCTTGATTAGATAATCAGGCGATTCTACGAGATAACATCATGCCGCTACTGGCACGTACCACACGGGTAGAATGTTTGTATACATTGATACGTGTGACTAACTTGAGTTCTACAAAGGGATTATTTTTATACGATTGTTGACAGTGATTGAACGGAATGTTGGAAACTGTAGTAATCGATCTAGGAATTGTTTTTCTTGTAACATTCAAGCTTTCAAGTAAAGATAGTAATTTGTTGGATTGTTGTGGAAGTAACGTTGGTTTTCTAGGTGCAAAAGGAAACTAATTTGTGCAGTTTTGTTTAATCAATTATATTAGTAAGGCTATTGTACTGAAATAATCAGTTCAGTTTCGATGTAACGGAAGATCGAGGTTGCGAAGGCATTTCATAGCTAATGCTTCGTTGAAGATACTTTAAGAATGTTGAATTATACGAGCAACGAGAACGATAAATAAAATATCGAAATATACTCCAAAGAATGATAGAAAATGTGTGGCAGGAAATGATATGTCTCTCAGTACTTGTGCCAAAGATCACACATCTCATTTATAATTTCGAGATTTTTGGAACAGAGAATTCCTGGCAATTCGAGAACAGCACACAACGTCATTTCCTTGGAATAAATAAAAACTGCCTACCGGAAATCTTCACGAATTATCTTTATTGCTACCTCTCTGAAATCGATGTATCTGATACAGATAAGACAGTAATCAAGGAAGACTAAATCATTTCAGTTGGACATCTGTAGGTATAGAAGTTTCCGACGCGATCTTACAACATTCTGTGAAAAAAATCTACTTCAGGTGGAAGTTTCATTTGAAGATAATACATCGATAATAGCGAAATAGTTGTTTGCTTTGATCCGTGGGTAATGAGCAACATTGATTCTTATTAAATTAGTTTAGAAATCTTCACAGCCTATGCATTTCACATTGCACTACCTTTCCCCTACGGGAGCGTGGACCTTTGCCCCCGATACCGTTCCCAGTGCAATTCTTCACCGACATCTATCTCGATTTCCTGCCCATCCAGAAGTTTATATTTTAATTTCACCAGTACCCTTATTCTTCTCTCAACTATTATTCTACCTTCGAAAATGAAAAATTATACAATAATACCAGAAACTCCGAGTTATCAACAATTTATGGTAACACCATTCACAAAGAATTTCGATGAAGGATGCAAGGAACTGTAGGAAAGAAGAAGAGATCGCATAAAACCTGTGGGTATTGCGCAATAAATATTTATTTCTCTATGATAATAACAACTTTAAAGATTCAAACAACAGTTTCGTACGAGCAAATCATATTCGGAGCATCATGACAACAATCTCAGAATGTTCTCAGCGTTTAGTGGAGGCTGCGAATGACGTGGGCAGTAAGAACAACCATGTATCCCACCTGGAAATCTTCTCGTGCGATACCGGCTCTTTCGGACGCCGAAAGCAGCTTCCTTACGTTGCTGCTGTTGACCATTAAGTTGTACAGTGCTTTGTATTTGGGCGAAGTTACCTCTTCGATGAGTTCCTTCACTACTTTGGAGTTCTCCATTTTATCTTGGGCCACACGCAGTATCTCCTCCGCTGGCAGCAGATCGAGCAGGTCTTTCTTGAGACCGGCGATTCCACCAGTGATCTTGTAGCTGGTGTACGCCACGAAGGGGCCCAGATTCAGGGACTTGTTCAGTTCGTTTATGCAAAGGTAGATATCAAGGCCACGTTTTTGTACAAAGTCCGCAATCTCCCTGAACTCCGGGTAAGATTCGAGTTCCTTGATGTATGCCACCGAATCGGCCGATGTCGCGATCTTCAGCAGCGCCTGGACCTGTTTGTCTTGGGCGATGTACGCTCTGACGACGCTGACAACCTTGTCCAATGGGATCAGGTCCAGGATATCTTGCACATCCTTGGCGAGCTCTCCTGAGCCCGTGGCTGGGATCTTGTAGGCATTCAGGGGACTGGCCACCGCCAGAATGGCCAAAGCTACCACTGCGAATTTCATCTGCGAAAAAATGACGTTTGTTGAACGATAATAAATGCTAAACGATGCCTTCTCATTGACAGTATAGTACAAATCGAACTGACATACGACTTAGATTAGAGAGAATTATTTAGTAGCTAATAAATTGGCACTAGTAATCTGTTTGCAATATAAATTTCTTCAAAATGCCCGTTGTTTATAAATGTATTACTTTGTACTCGAGGATATTTTTCTCAACAGATATTTATTATTTTCTGATAAAATACCAGTGATACTTTTACAACTGACATAAAGAAATACCTTGTATAAATTAAGTGACAGAACTATTTTATGTTCCATGTGTTGATATACTATATAAAATTTAATATTGAATTTTAAATTTCATCATTTTGTTGGGTCGAATCCAGTGGCGAGAGGCGCCACTCGAGTGCAAAGGGTTAAAGTATGGATCGAGCAGTTTCAATGTTACATATAATAAATTTACAGATTGAACTACAGTTCAAAGGCACAAGAAAGACAAGAGTTCTACGATATTTATTCGACCATTTAGAAATGATAGCTTGAACAAATGTTTCGTTACTCACCTTGGGTCTGTTGAACCGTTCGCCGTTGAACCTCGGAGGAACTTGATGCCACATCCGTCGGTGTTGTGATTTATATACCGTGCAAATTTAATCAGCTCGGAGAGATTAGATATCGGTTAAACTTTTCTCCCGTATTCTATCACGCCTGAAGTACTGTTTACCGCGAATCACTGAAAAAGTTCATCTCTCACGAGCAAATAATGTAGTGAAGTGGTCGGAGAAGACGATAACAGCGGAAACGGCGCTGTACGTGGCAGTAGTAATACCTGAAGATGTAATCGCGATACGAGGAAGCTTCAGGAATTCTTACGATAGTTTACACCGTTGTGCCGCGGGAACGGCGACGAAGTTTTCGCGTTACGGCATTCCATAATCAACGAATTTGTTATACGAGCCGGCCGAAGAAGCGCGCATTAGCTCGGAAAGCCCTCTCGGCCGCCGTAACCCGCTTTAGGGCTCCGTTAAGACAGATACGGAACGTAACTTACAGAGGGAAATGTTTATCACCGCGCGGCGGGCCAACGGGTCCGCGAAACTTCCCGGTTATAACTTAGATCTTTCACTTTTCCGCGTTTTAACTACCGAAACTTCTCCGCGGACGTCACCGTTCGCGAGTTACGTAACTGCCTGCTTACCTTGTTTGCGGCGGTATTTCATTATCTGCGATGCATCTATTTGCAACAACAAGCTTCGCGGGAAAAAACTCTATCGTACGATTACACGAGCTAGTCCGTTGCTTCATTCATTCGTTTCACGTACCATTTCTTCTCGGCTCTCGACAAATTAATCATTTCTTTAGAAGGTTTCCACGATACCGCGAGTGCACTGTAAAATAAATAAATATATATCACAAGGATGATTAATAGCGTCAGCTATCGGCACTAGGCGCCGTCGCGCACAAACACAGTCGTCGTCATTCGCTCTCGTGGAAAATCTCTCGAAGCAACAACGGAGAGATCGTCGCGAGCATTCCAGCGGAGCGGTTCCTCCGATCGGGATTCATCAGCCGGGAGCCCCGGGTCACGTCCAGGACGTTTTATTGGTGCCGCGGCTCATCCATTTCGAGGGGAGAAATTTAAGACACGCCGGCCGCGGAAGGAATTAATTCCGTCGAGGATGTCACCGAGGGCCGTATGACGGGGACAGGTCGGTGTGAGTTGTTCGCGGCCGAAGACGCGCGGCGGAAGAGGACTGCGCCGAGCGGGGATGCCGCTGAAGCGGAGAGTACAGGGCTCGGGAGCTGTGCGAAGGCAAACGGCTCGCTGTGTCTGCGGCAAACAATTCCAATTAACTTGCTGGAATTGGAATAGGAGTCCTTGTCCTCTCGTCCTCGTCGTCGCCGGTCTCTCGGCTGGTGTCTCTCCCGGATTCCCCCAGCGAGCGACGAGGAGAGAGACGCGAGCGCGCGCGCGCGCGGCCGCGTTCTTTCCTTCGCCCTTTATTCCCGTCCCTCATTTTCGTTCTTCTTCAAACCGGCACACTCACCGCGGAAAAATTAGCTGTCCGCCGGTGGCTTGAACTTCGCGAAAATATTCCCCGAAGAAGCAGCCGGAGGAACGCGACAATAGACGGGGGAATGAAGAAAGTTAGGGGCTGCTATTTACATTTCAATCGGACATTGTACTTTCGCGGGCAACGAGCTTCTACTGGGTGGCACTCGCGGGGATTCCAAGGGGAATTCATTTCGGAATGATGGAATCGTTGGTTTAGGGGTGCAGGGTGCTTCAGTTCGGTTGAACGATTAGCGATTGCTTTGAAGTATTAGAGAATTCTTATTGTTAGTAACGTCGGATAACGATTTGTTACAGTTTTCTGAGTTTCGATGGAAATCCTAAAGATCTGCCGGAAGCTACTAAGCCTTTGCACTCCGAAGGTGCCTCTCAGTCACGATTGATGCATCAAAATTGTAAAATTTCGTATTAACGTTAAGTCTCGAGTAATCTGTCGATACGTGAAATGTGGAAATAAAATACCATTGTTCCATTAATTCGTGAATAAATTCCTCGTTGAGTTAGTTTAAAAAAATGTCATCTATATCTCATAAAAATAAATTGAATATTTCTAGTGACAAATTTTTAGAGTGCAACAGGCTAAATAAATTGACACAGATTCGATGAGTGAAACTCAACAATCACTTTCACCGATCATCAGTTTCAGAATGAGAATCTCCGCGTAGAAAAACTCTGTCCGCTTCTCGATTGTACCAGAGATAATGGAGCACCCTGTGAGCGCGTGATACGTTCAAAGAATTCGCGCCGCATTCGCGTACAGTCTGCCCCGTCCTCTCCGCGAACGGTCTCTGTCTCTGTCATTGAAAGAGGAAAGTTCTTCCCGGTCCGGGGGAGGCATAATTCAATCAGGATCTACTAGGGGGTGTTTGTCAAGTACGGTTTCTTTGCACGTGTACCGAGGAAGTGAATGGCGGCCGGTCGGACCATTATCCGCGGCATAATGCTCGTCATCGTCGTCGTTGCGGGGAGCAGCGAGAAAGGGAGGAAGAACGGCCAGAACGGTAGCGACGGACCAGGAGAGGGAAATCGAGGGAGACGGAGACCAAGAGATGGAGTCATAAAGCTCGGGGTTGGGCCGTCGCCCTAGACAATGCGGTCCTTGAGCTGCTCAGATATTGAAGACGCCCGAAAGCGGTGTGTACCAATCCCGATGTGTACCCAGCGTCTAGCCCGCTACTCTACATTATTAAATCTCGCTGCTCGCCCGTGAACTAACCACGCGAGACGTTCCTCCAGCGATTTTTCGGCACCACGGGTCAATCGGCTACCACGCGAGCAACACTTTCTTACGGCGTTGCGCAAAGCTCTTGTCTCGGAAACTTCGAGGCGCGAGCTTAGAGGCTGAGCTGCGAAGCCCGGCTGCTTGGAACTCGACGCTCAGCTCTCGGGGCTCTCGTGGTTATGTTAATGAATGAATAATTGAAGGATATTAATGTATAGTAGTCTCGATGCTTTCACTGCCTGGAATATTATCACATTCATTTTTGGCTCTCGGGTGAGAGCCGCGTCCAATAGGAATATTTTCCCAAGGTTTCTTTTGGGAATAATAGAATGAAGTGTACAATAACAAATAGATGCTCGGATTTCATGGAATTAGAGGATGTTTCAACGAAATTCGAGTGTCCGCGTTACATTCCGCCGGGTTGACGTGTCCCCCGGGAGAAGTACTTTTACGTCGAACTCTTGTCGCCGGTAGTGTCATGGAATCCGGTTTAGTAGTCGAGGTTTTAATACAGTTAAATTTGTAGTACGGCTTTACTACTTGAGATAACCGAAGTGGCCGAGGGCACTAGAGTGAACGTTGCCTCTTGTCGCATGCCCGCCGAGGTGACTAATCGCGAACGGAGTGGTTGCGATCTTTATCGCATTATCGGCCACGTCATCGGTCACGTCCCCTGATAAGTCAATGGCGACGAGCGGAAAACTTCTAAGGGTATCTTGTTGCATGATTTATGATAGGGGATTTATTGATAATTGGCGGCTGCGCCTAAAATGTAGGCCAATCGTGCGTCGGCCGCTCGTATCGGGGGTCCCAATCGAATTTCGCCTCTCGATTCCGTGGAAACGTAGTGGTGGAATCGAGATTTTCGTTACACAACCCCTTTGACTGCCACTTAACGGGAGATCACCTTGCGATATACGCACACGTCACCGTTCGGCACTCGAGCGACTCGAGACTTTTGCGTTCTAAAGCACACGTGTTGATCGTCGTCCTTCAACGAACATCGTAATCCTACGAGCATGTTCTGTGAAAGTTCTCCGAAGACGATTCAATCGGATGGTCCCTTTGTACTTTTACGCTACGTGATAGTCTGTACTTCTACACGAATACATGGAAATCATTGATTATTACGTTTGATTTGAATGCAAGAAGTTCCGTATTTCCAATGAGCATTAATAATTTATCTGTTATTGATATGTATGTTTGATTCCTTATCAAGATGTCTGGTAAAAAGTGTCCACTGCTACTCGAAGCCTATATCTGAATATTTCTGATTCATTATTTGCTAAACATTCATAAAATCCAACGAACAATTCAACTATTCTGTAAAGTATCTCAAGAATTTCTATCGATAGCATTCTACGCAGTCACTTTAGAAACACTGCCTCGATGACTAAGAGTCGCTTTGGAAACTATAATTAGAAGCTCTAATAAAAAATCCAATAAACAAGCTACTAATTTCAATATCCAATTCCTTTCCTTCCAGTAATCATTAACCTTAGCGGACGAATGTCGACGTTTCACCGATATCAGTCATCAAATACCAAGTAGCAAACAAATGATTCAACTACTCAAACTTCAAGGAATCACTGCACAGCTCCCTTATTCTCTATTCAACCATTCAACGCCTAATTCATCAGAATCTGCAGGTACTCCAAACAATGTTCGTCTGCGAAGGGTTAAAAAACAAGTCGGAAACCGGCGATTCTCCATTTGGCAGTTCCGGCGTGAACGCGCCGCGGCCTTAGAGCTGCAATGGGTTGCCCAATTAGCAGGCGGGAAACAACATATTCCGTCTCCCCATTTACGACAGAATAATGCTACCTGTTTCACGCGGAGCCACGTATAATTACAGACTAATGCTCGGGAGTCCGCAATCGTGGCAGGTGGCACATAATCGCGGCCTCGTAACCCCCGAATGAGTTAATCCGTGAGGCGTCGCGCCGTTTCCCACGACGACGCCTGCGACCGTAGTTGTCGACCGGCGACGACATCGTCGCCGTCGTCGCCGTCGTCGTCGTCGTCGTCGTCGTCGTCGTCAGCCAGTGAAATCGTCGAGCAAAAGGCGACATTTGGAAGTAGGTACGGCGCGCGCGGGCTGATCCGCTTACCGGGTTTAAAAGTCAAGTGCTAAAGAGCGCCGCTTCATCCCGCCCGGCCACGTTGGCAGCGCGGAGGAAGGGGGTCCATGGAGATCGGCCATGAACAGCTCTTCCTAGTTACACGATAGTGAAAAAGATAGTTCCTCCCCTCTCCTCCGTTTTCTAGCCGTTGGCCGGGGCCTCGCCTCGCTCTACGATTCATTCTATTCGTAGTCGCGAAAAATATCGCTCATTCGTGAAACTTTTTACACCTTCTTTTCGTTTGTATCTTCGTCTGTTCTCGTTGTTCGCTATTTGAATTACCGTTTCCGCTTCTCGAGAAGATTCGG